AAAAATTCGTCGAAAATCATGGCATTTACTATAGATCATCGTCTTCGTTACACGAAAAAAATTCACTAGTAAAATTTACTGAGACTATAAATCTATTTGATCTACATAGTACATTGGACACCCCAACAGTACGTACAACGGATATACTTAGACCAAGCCACATCTAAATTAATACAAAATAGTAAACGGAATAATTAAAATCCGATCAACAACCGATAAAAAACCCATTGGTATTACGAGCATGATTGAAGAAATGAGCGTGAGAGTGAAAACCTTGAAATAGATTTAATTATTTACTATTATTGGTTACAGGTATTCACTCTCACGCATTCAAAATCAACAATTATACGTATTACAAATTACCCTATACGTAACACCGATAGAGATTACCGTACACATCTTTGTATTTCGTTTCTGGTGCATACTTTACACCAACAAAATTGCATACCTATGTTTTGTTTATTAGTATGAATCAATTTATTTCTGTTTTTCTCGAACAAAACAGCAAAAAAAAACATACATATGTATGTACAAGTTTTGAATTCAACATTAAATATGCTTGTAAACGATAATCTTATTACTCTCAAAATAATTTTATAATTTATTTCGTTCATACATTTATTACAAAAAATGCCATGCTCGAAACAACTAGTATATATTTTTTGCATGATACAAGCATTCAGTTTCTTATTGTATGCAACAATAAAATTAATTGTTATTGAACCTATTAAGATTGATCAAATCGATCATACGGCAAAATTAATAAGTCAGCTTGAGATCAAGCCTACCAACTTTGCAGGATGGAAAAAAAGACATTATATAACAAACTATTTTAATAAGGACCGAAAAGTGAAAATATATATAACTAGAGGTGATTGGTATACAAACCAAGATTATAGAGAACTCGAATTTAATCCAGACGGAACCTTAGCAAATTGCGAGATACCATGTATTTGGAAAGCAAGGGAAATAAACCGTTTAACGTTTAGAGAACTTAAAAGCGCTGATGCTCTTTTTTGTGTTAATCAACCAGGCCTACCAAAAAAGAAAGCACGAAAAGGACAAAAGTTCATACAATATACTTTAGAACCTAAGACTCATTGCCCAGAATGTTACGATAAAAGTCACATGTTTGATATCCACGCAACTTATGATGAAAATTCAGAAGTACCTACAAGTTATATTAGAATGGATTCCAAAAAATGGAAATTAGTACCTCCTTTTAAGTTAACAAAGCTATCTCAGGGTGAACCATTTGTTTCATTCATTGCTTCCCATTGGACTAAATACAGGTCAGAGTTTATTCAAAGTATTATGAACTATATTCCTATCGCATCCTTTGGTGAAGTCTTTACGAATACCGGTTGGGAGAGTCATCCTGAATGTTTACGCTTGGACGATTTCTTTGATGTAAAAAATTGTGTCATCTCTAAATATCCTTTTTATCTTGCCATTGAAAATTGCCAAGAAAATGATTACTCTACTGAAAAATTATGGGATACATTTAATTTGGGTGTCGTTCCTATTATATGGGGTGCACCTAATACTCGTTCATACCTACCGCATCCTAAATCTGCTATTTTTATTGAAGACTTTGAGAATACTAAGGCTCTAGTAAATTATTTAAAATATTTAGTTAGCAATGAGACTGCATATTTAGAATATCATCAGTGGCGGAATATGACATCATCTGATGGATTTAAGAAGAAATCATATATGAGTATGTATAATCTTGAATGTAACGTTTGCAGAGAAGTTGCTAGGTTGAGGGTTGTTGAGGAACATAATGAATATAATTTTATGATGAATGACTTTGAGACTGATGACTCGTAACTTGTAATAGAAATACAGTAAAAAACACTATTTTTTTTATGATTCCGGCTGACAAGGAAGTATCGTTACAAAAGTGCAATAACTCTAATGATTTTTTATCAATACATTTAATTACTTGATTAGAAATTTTACGTGTACAATAGGTTGAAAGTGGCTTAACTGTTGATTAAATCTGTCCTAATAAATCATCAATATAAACTTTTATAGAATTTATTAAAAGATATAGTTTTATATTAAAGTATATGTCTAGTAAATGTTGCTAAAATAATTGTTTTTAAGACAATAAATGTGTGGAGTGTAGAGAGCATGGTTTAACAAGTGAAATGATGTATACAATTCTCAGCATCCGATTGGATGTTCATTCCTTGTGACTTTGTCAATATTTCTATTAAAAAAGTACCTTTGACGTTAGAATAAAAGTGAGCAGAAGATGGTTTTATAAGCCAAGTTTTGAGTTACGTACGTACGTACGTACATACTTAACTGTTAAGATCTTTTGTTTTCACGAAACGGTTTGCTGAAAATTTTTCCGATCATTACTTATCTGATTGGCTGTTTTGTTTTTTATATCTATATATCCGAATATTAGAGCTGAAATTTTTAAGACTTGTTAATGCCACCAATATAACTCTAACTGGCCTTTAACCACTTCTGGAGATTCTATAACTGATCAATCACATGAATTTTCAATGTCTCTAGGTACTATCTGTAGAATTTTCAGGATCGGACAAAAGTGGAGGGTGGCATTAACAGTTCTCAATTTTTAAAGTTGTCTTTTTTAAAAGTTAGATTTTTATTAATAAATGTTAAAAAGACTTAATATTTATAATCTATCAAAAGAAAAAGTACTATCAAAAGAATAAAACCAGCTGCGAATTCCTTGTTTCCAAATATTTATTGCATGATAATGTTAAACCTTATGATTTATAAGTTGCAATTGCTCAAGCAAGACATAAAGGAAACTGTATGCGAAAGAAATTCTTGATTTTCCTTCGAATTGGTGTTACTTGGTTATGGTTAGCATTGGACCTGTATAATTATTGTGATGGATCATAATGAAATCCAGATCAAAATGAAATTATAATATAAAATCTCGAAAAATAAAATTTTTTGGGGTGCATTTTTTAGAGATAGGGGTTAGGGTTAGGGGCTAGTTTTAAAGTAAAGTTATAATAAACAAGTATAAGTGGGTTTTAGAAGGTTAACAGATTGAGTAGAAAACGTAGATTTCATTTTAAATTATGATCTGCGACAATTATTATTTTAATCAGCAATGTTGTAGATAGCATTACACTCAGAACTATTTCTTATAAGTAGGTATAACTAATTTACCTTAGCGATAGATATTGTACATGAATAATAACAAATGCCGTGTTTCTACTTAAATAAAATATATTTATTGCAGTTATGCATTAAGAAGATTTTAAATGATTTAATAGTTATGAAAGAAGCAACGGTTAAATGTATGTGCGGCTAAATGTATATAAAGATACAAGTAGCCACATAGAATATGTATTATTTATTAGAGTTATTTGTATATAAAGACTACTCTTCATTAGTATTATTGGGTGAAAAGCGATTAATAGGCATTTATATATTATTTTAATCATCTATTAATAAAATACATTTTATCAAGATATTTCTGAAATTTTAGAATATTGGTTAGATACAATTTTCTCTCCATAATTCTCTTGTTATAACAAATTTATTAATAAACTCTTGATATAGTGAATTTTTTTAAAAAAATTTTATTAATGGAATGGATTACATCATTACAACGAGTTTGACATTTATTAAACCCGTCGCTAAACGACAGGTTGGATTTAACCATTTCCTAATTACATTAATCACTATCGTATTGTCGCGTTATTTTGAGTATATACGCGTTATTTTGAGTATATACGCGTTATTTAGAGTACGCGTACGAGCGTTATTTTGATACAAAGACTAATTACATTAATCACATTCGGATAACCGGATAATATTGTATTGTCGCGTTATTTTGAATATACGCGCGTTATTTAGAGGACGCGTACGAGCGTTATTTTGATACAAAGATAAATTTTCACTTAATCTTCAAAATAGCTTCCACGTTAATCTTTTGACCCAAGCTGATTAGCAAGTAAGTATAATTGTCAGTCGGAACATTTTAAATACTCTTATATTTCTTATTAATTTCTTATTATTTTCTTATTAATTTATTAATTTCTTATTAATTTCTTATTAATTTCTTATTGTAGCAGCATATTATTACACTGACTGCTGTAACTAATTATTATATCTCTAGTTATTAACTGAAACTGAATGGTGAAGCAGCTCTTTATATGGGTGCGCGTTACTGTGGGACGTGCATGCCATTTTCCAAAAACGCGATTTTCTAAATAACACCTTATGAGCGTTATTACGCGAACGGTAATATTCAAGAAACGCGTTTTCTAAATAACGTCTATAGTCGTTATTATACGAAAATACGGTAATATTGACATTTAGTAAAATTACATGAATTCAACTTGCGAAACTTAATTATATTCTAGGACCATTTAAAACCAATGATCATTACAACATTGCTTTACGGACATGTTCAAATATTGCATCATATTATTAGATAATTTTTGACGTCTTGGAATGTAATTTATAAAACCACTTTAATAAATAATATTTTATTAATAAAAAACTCTATATTGATAACAAAAAAAAAATAAATAAATAAACATCGATATTTTTTTTTTAAGACTAAATTCAACCAACATCCAACACTCATTCATTTAATGGCATTAATGACATTTCTGTTATTAAACATTCCTTTTAAAAGTCCCATGTCCGAAACTTAATGGCACAACTTGTGGTAGATCGGCTCTTACCAATTCATTCATTGTTCTCGCTTCAAGTACCAAAAGAAAACTCTTGTTATTTTCACCATCAAATACGATACTTAATAACACACCATCATCTTCATGACTGTCTTTATCAGGATGTGGTACAAATACCGCTTCTGATGGATAACAATCTTCTGATCTCCACATTGCCACTACTTCTTTAGCATCCAAATCCTAAATTAAAGAAATGAAAAATTTAAGTAATTGACAAATAGAAATATGAATTTGGATAGATGATGCGGTAAAAATTTGTATTACAAAAGAAAATTATAAAAAAAAAATATATGAAGATACTTTATGCAAAAAAAAACATACACATTTAATAAGAGAGTCCCAAATTTGATTTGCTTGACCAGCTGCTTTGGCAGAAACACCAATACCATAGACATAACGGTATCGAAGACGCTGATATCTTGGGTTAATTCTATTTAAAATTAGGTAGAAATAAATACCAATGATATGAATCCTTTAATAATAAAAGAATATAAATATATATATATATTGTTTATAAATACCTTGGCAGCTCTAAAGTTGAATCAGCACATCTCACATAGTCGGCAATGGGCAAAGAAGAAGAATCTTGAGTTGTGGATCGACTCCAAATCATTGATGTCACCATTTGCAAGCTTCCCATTCGAGTTGCTTGTGGAAGCTTTGCAAACTTTAATGATTCTTGTTTAATATTTTGTAATACATATCTACGAACTTCAGCCATTTGAAGTCTCTTTGATAAACCTTTTCGAAGATTTTCGAGTTCAAGGTCATTTAAGATATCAGAATTCTCGTAGCATGCAATATCTAAATATAAATTATCATTATCATCTTCAAATGCGTTTATGTGATGGAACCTTATGATTAAAAAAAGCAATGAATTTAGCATTAATAAATGTTAGGGTTGATACTAAAATTTGCTGATGCTGAAATTTGGACCTATTCTAATGTTTCTTAGTTTTTTTTGTTAATAAAGAGCATAAGTAGATTTTTTGTATGGTTTATATTTACAAATAGAGATCCCAATTTAAGCATCAGCCACGACAAGAAATAAAATTCTTACGCAAAACAAGGATCCGATTTATAAATAGCGACATGCTGCTTTTTTTCTCTAGAAATTACATAAAATAAAGTAGGTTCATTTGATTTAAATTCAAAAGAATCTACGATATTGTCAGACCATGTAAAATTGATTCCAGAGCTTTTTGGATAATATGGAAATAGAACCTACGTTTTGTAAATGAATATACTTTAAATTTAATAATTAAAATACAGATCAAATAAATTATGTTCAATACAAAAAAATATTATATACCAGAATTATGAATCGTGGAGTGACACCAAAGCTATGTACATAAGACATTTTTGCCGTTACAGAGCCGATCAATTGAGGAGTTTGATTATTCTGTGATACAGAAAAAAAGGTGTACGTAGTATCCATAGTATGATACTCCATATTAAAGTTGATCAATTCTCCAGTAGCCTCATCGAAATGAGAATGGGGAGATGCATGATCACCCTTAACCATTGGATCCAATTCATCCCATGAAAACACACGTGTAGGGGTAAGATCATACGCGTCAAGCTCTACGACCTATAAGGTACGAAAGTTTCCAAG